TTACCCCCAAAAAAAAAAAAAAAAAAAAAAAAAAAAAAAAGAAAGAAAGAAAGAAAATCTGCTCCAGCAAAAACAAAAACAAAAACAACTTCATCAATCCCTCCTACATGGATACTTGCAGGCCCAAAGGATATAGACATATCTAAACAAGTGGGAAGAAAAGCAAAAGATGAATTTTGTTCTACTTGCTAAAATTTGGTGAGCTAAAGGTTTACATTCGCAAAGCACAATGGTCTGGCTAGTTTCCAAGAGTAAGGTTCCCATGAAAACAAAACATTCTGTAAAACCTCCACTAATATGTATAATATTTTGCCAGTCAGCCATGGCCCATTCAATCCCAGTAATGTGAAAAGGTTTCCTTTGGCAGAAATCTCTTTGAGGATACCAAAGACAGTATAGTTGAGCAGTGCAATCTGGGCAGTCTGTGAACAACAGGCCATTACCAAGATTAACTGGAGTCAGGCTTGATGGCACATACCTGTAATCCCAGCACTCTGGGAGGCTGAGACAAAAGGACTGCATCTGAGCCTAGCCTGGAAAATTTGGCTAGAATCTGTCCCCTCTCCCAGCAAAAATAAAGGGTCAGGAATGTAGCTTGCTGCAAAGGTCCTGGGTTCAATTCTCAGTCATACACACACACACACACACACACACACACACACACACCCTCATAAGAAAAGATTAACTGGCAGGAAACTTCAGTTTCAACACATTCCCCTAAACTGTGTGAGCTTGGACAAATCATCTTCTCTCTTTGGGGTTATTTCCCAAGCTGTAAAGGAAGAGGATTAGGTTAGATTGGGATTTAGAGGTACTGATTTATAAACCTATGGAGGGTTTTATGGAAACTCGGGATTATACCAAAATTCCGTTGAGTGTGTTTATATGTGTGTCTTCTATTAGTGTGCTTTTCCCGAAGGATTCACAACAGTGCTTATGACTAATAACATGAACAGCTTCTTAGCTATCCAGCCTCCTTATACTACTCACTGCTTAGATTTCTTCAGGACAACTCAGTAAATTCAGGCTGTGAGGTATACACAAACAATTGAATCTGGAGTCCCAGAACAAGATAACAACAGTTCTGATCAGCCTTGTTTGCCAATGGCCTGAGGTGGATTTGTTCCTAGCTAGAGGATATTAATCAAAGTGTCCTAAGGCCCAAACTGTGCTGAACTGTGCGTCACTCCAAGCTCAAAGTCCTGAGGCCAAACTGGGTGTACCTGAATCCTAAGGCCCAAAGCCAAGAAGGTCTCTGATTCTGTGGAATCTACACTGACTTCAGTTATGTGCCTACCCCAAAATATCACTCCAGTAGTATTAAAGATCTCCCTGCAGGATTCAAGCTTTGGGTCTGGGAAGTCTGAACATTCTGCGCGACCAAAATCCTTGGGGGAAGACTGAGTCTTAACTCTGATTAATTGAAAGTTGGCAGTGGATAGGCAGGAGCACAAGGAAAAGGAAATAAAAGAGGATTATTTAAGCTTTGCTGGGGCACGAAGAGCAAGTAGACAAGAAGGGGACCGATTTCAAGGTCACAGGCAGTCCAAAGCCCTCTTCACAAAGCTGTGCCCCGCATCCCAAACAAGAGCTCTGCTGGGGTAAAGGCCCAGAGCCAGGCCCCACCCGAGGGCAGGCGCGTGGTGAGGACGCCCTGCGTTTACCCACCCGTAGCCCCAGGGCCTCGCTCTTGGTCGCGCCCAGCAACACTCCGGCCTGAGGGAGGGGGCGCGCTTTCTTCCTGCCATGGTTCATCCCGATGAAACCACCACCTTGGTAGGGGAAGAGGCAAACCGGATCTTGGACCCTCTTTACCAAGACGAGGTCTTCAAGACCTCTCTGCCACGCGAAATTGTGTTACATTTTCGTACTCCTCTGCTACAGCCACTCTGCTCAACGTTTTCCCTCCCCGATTCCGCCTTCCCCGGAGCCTCCCTTACAAAGATGGCGGCAAGCGCACTTCCGGCGGGTGTCCTACGGGTGAGTCCGGGCGGCGGGAGCAGGTGCAGTGCGGTGCGTTCCGCTCTTTTCGCTGCACGGACCACAACGGTGATGGCGGGCAGATGGTCTAGCTGGAGCCGGGCGGCTCTTCTCCAGCTTCTTCTTGGCGTGAACCTGATGGTGATGCCATCCACCCAGGCCCGGAGCCTGCGCTTCGTTACCTTGGTAATGGGTGACGGAGTCACCAAAGGGTTCGCCAGAGCTAGGGGGCAAAGGCTGGCTTGTGGAGGGAGGGGCAGGGCTTGCGCTGAGGTCAGGGGTCTTGAGGAGGACGAGGCGGTGTAGGAGACGCCTGGCCTGGGGAGTTCGAGAGGCGGGGCTCAGCGTCGTTGCGGAGCCCTGGGCCATTCTGGAGGTCAGGCACCCGAGTAAAGAGTTAAAGATCAAGGCAGGTTGGGATGAGTCTGGCCTGGGACAGGGATGTAGTTAAAAGGTGAAGAGATTCACTCATCAAGATGACATTGGTGCTCACTCTCTCCGGTTTTCCCCACCGAATGCATTGCTTTCACTACTCTTAAAGTCCTTCCCATCTATGCCTTTCACTTTGCCTATGGCCCTCCGGTACATTTCTTAACCAAGATAAGATCCTCGTGTAGGAGGATCTTTTGCAATGGCTAATAAGGCTTCCCAGAGGGCTGAGGCTCCCTTTCCAACAGGGGGCAGAGGAGACCCTTCTGATCTTCAAGCCGTTTTCTTTCCTCAGTTGTATAGACATGGAGACCGATCCCCAGTGAAGACATATCCCAAGGACCCCCATCAGGAAGAGGAATGGCCACAGGGTTTCGGTCAGCTCACCAAGGTGGGTCAGATGCCAGCTGCCCTCGGGATGAGCTGAACAGTGAGTGACCTCTGGAGCAGGCTACAGAATTTGGGAGCCTCTAAACAGCCATTTCCCACATGCGTGTGAACTTGGACCAGATTTTTGGTTGTTGTTGTCTGTGGTGCTGAGGATGAACCCAGGGCCTTAGGCATGCCAAGCACATTCTCTGCCACTGAGCTACATCCCCATCCAGCCCTGACCAGATTTAGAACTTTACATTACATTCCGTGCCCAAGAGAGTGCGGTGTGCAACTGGCCAAATGGCTTCACTTCCAGCCAGGGGTCAATCTAGAAAGAAACAGTGCCTGAGTCCTTTGGGCTGTGTGAGCCATCCCTCCTGCCTGGACTCTCTTAACATTGAGTTTGCCCACAGGAAGGGATGCAGCAGCACTGGGAGCTGGGCCAGGCTCTGCGACAGCGCTACCATGGCTTCCTAAATGCCTCTTACTGCCGGCAAGAGGTAAGACTGGGAGCTCGAGGTGAGAGGAAGGGGATCTGTTATCACCCACTGTCCTCAGGGAGCCTCACTAAGAGGCTGGACACTTTGGCCTTCTTCCAGCATTTTTGGTCACAGGACAAGACATCCAAGAGGTCCACAACACAGGCCTGGAGGCTGAGCTGACTCTGCTTAGCTGGGAGGAGGCAAAAGTAATCAAGCATCTAACGCAGGCAGGGCCAGGGATTTAGCTCGGTGGTACTGCACCTGCCTTACAAGTGCAAGGTCCTGAGTTCAATCCCTGGTACTGAAAAAAAAATCAGGGCCAGGGATTTAGCACAATGGTTCCGCTGCCTGCCTTAGAAGCACAAGGTCTCGAGTTCAATCCCCAGTACCAAAAAGAAAGGAAAAGCCTGGCAAAGGACTGACTATGAAATTACAGAATTCCCTTGCACATTGTATGTCATAATAATAGCGTACCACAGGGATACAGTCTGACTTCCTGGAGTCTAGAGTAGAGTGCAGTGGGAGTGTCAGATGATAAGCCAGACAGAGACAAGATAAAGGGGAGCAGGGAAGGCTGGCAAGTATGCTGGCTCCTGGGTCCTCTCCCCACCCTGGGGATGCAGGTAGCTCTGGTTACTGTTCCCAGCCACATCTGTCCCAAGAGTCTACATGTTATTGTTCCCTTGAGGCCCATCTCTGTCCTGGGCTTGTTCACCTGCAGTTTGTTCTTTTTCACAAGCTACTCTGTTCCTTATTTTCTCACCCTGGGGAAGGGGAGGGGGCCTGATGCACGGTGGTTTTCCAGTGTGCCAGGCTCCAGTGACGCGCTGGTCAGCCTCTGTGCCATCTTGGCAGGTTTATGTGCGCAGCACAGACTTTGACCGCACCCTCATGAGTGCAGAGGCCAACCTGGCTGGACTCTTCCCTCCTGACGGGACGCAGCGCTTCAACCCGAACATATCCTGGCAGCCCATCCCTGTGCACACTGTGCCCCTCGCCGAGGACAGGGTAAGCTTGGCCGGCCCTTCCCTGGAGATGACTTGGGACAGCTGGGATCCTGGCCTGCTCACCCTAGGCTCCTTCTGTGCCTCTGTTTCTCCCTTCGGTCTGCAGCTGCTGAAGTTCCCCCTGGGCCCGTGTCCCCGTTACGAGCAGCTGCAGAATGAGACCCGGCAGACAGCAGAGTATCAGAATGAGATTGCCCAGAACACAGTGAGTGGGGGCAGCTGGAGCCCTGATCCCTGTCCCCCAGGGCGAGACTGATCTGATTCATTTTCCATAGCAATTTCTGGCCATGGTGGCCAACGAGACAGGGCTCGCCGACCTGACCCTGGAGACCGTGTGGAACGTGTATGACACTCTCTTCTGTGAGGTGAGCCCGCTGGAGTGCCCGTGGGATTGCTCTCCTCACCCTTGCCAGGCCCAGGTCTCAGGACAGTGGAGCACGGTGTCTGGGTGCCCAGCAGGCAGCTGCTTGTGAAACACTGGAACTTCCTCCGGGGGAAGAGAATCTCAGAGTGGGAACTGCTTTGCTGGTCGTCAGCAGTTCTTGCTCCCCTAACCTAGAGCTGGTGGTGTCAGATCCTAGCTGCTGATCTTGCTCTTCAAGCCTAAGCTTCCTCCCCTATGCCCTGGCCTGCACCACTCACAATGAGTGCCCAAGCCCCTCCGCCTCACCTCTTGTTTCCTGTCCCCCTCACACACACAGGCACCTCCCCTCTGGGGAGGAGAGGCCCCCTGCGAGGCTCTGGCCCAGGCCCGGGAGCTAACCTGCCCAACTGCATCACACAGCAAACCCACGGGCTACTGCTGCCTCCCTGGGCCTCGGCCCAAACCATGCAGCGACTGAGCCGCCTGAAGGACTTCAGCTTCCGCTTCCTCTTCGGCATCCACGAGCAGGCAACGAAGGCCCGGCTTCAGGGGGGTGAGTGATGAGAGCAGTGTGGCACCCTGCTCCTCAGGACCCTCCAGTACCGAAATTCTACTCTGCTGGCTGTGGTGGCGCACGACTGTCATTCTAGCACTTTGGGAGTTGAGGGAAAAGGATTTTCGGAAGTTTGAGCCCAGCCTGAGCAACTCAGCAAGGCTCTGACTCAAAATAAAAAATGAGGAGGAGGACTGGGGATGTAGCTCAGTGCAAAGGCCCCGTACAAAAACCAAAAACCAGCATTTCTGCTTGTCCCCTTTCACCATGCAGGTCCCCAGTTTCCCTCACATTAGCCCATGTGTCACTGTCAGGGTCACATGCTATTTTTCTGCCGCTTATTTCTAAGTTGCACCCTCCCAAAGTAAATCCTCCCTTGGAGAACCCTGAGGCCATTTGGAAAGAGGGCTGAGGGGTGCAGGTGCCAGCCGCCAGCGGCCACCTTGTAGCATCCAAGGGCTCACCAGGTGTTAGACTCTGACCCCACTGTAGTCTCGGAGCCTGCACATGGAAGCTGCCCTGGCGTGGAGCCATCATCACGTGTCGTGAAGTCGTCTTCAGTTTTCGTCTTGTTCCTCACTGGAGTGAATCGAACAGGGCAGGCCTCCTGGCTTATCTATAAATGGGCAGGTTTTTACGTCTGTCTTTAAATATAGGTACCTGTGTTGTCTTGCTTCCTTCTTCAAATTTGGAAGTTCTTAGAGAGCAGGATGTGGGGTAGAGTTTTGATATGGTTCCCACAAACCCAGAGTTCTCTGAGGCAAGTGTGGTAGCACACCCCTGTAATCCAGCACTCAAGAGGCTGAGGCAGGAGGACCAAAAGTTCTAGCACAGCCCAGCAACTTAATGACCTAGCACAGCCTTGTCTTATAAAAAAAACAAAAAGGGGCTGGAAATGTGGCTCACTGTGAAGGCCATGGTTCAATCCTCAGTACTGACAAAAAAAAAAAAAAAAA